ATTTGTCCACAGGATGGCTCCATCCAGAATCCATGTTACTTGTGCCTTGGTTTATGACAAAATGCCCACTGGGAGGATTCATAAAGGAGTATGTTCAACATGGATGAAGGTAATGTATACGCATCCTGGGTTATGTATGCTTGAACTTGTTGAGTTGTAAGGCTGATGTAATCCCTAAAGAATTATTGGCTTGCAGATGGTTATCTTTTGGCCACTAAAGTTAGTTAAACTGAACTGTCCATATCTTGAGCTTTCAAAAATGAAAAGGAATTATATGAGGATATGGAAGCCAAATGTCTTGAATCCACTGCTTATTTTGTATCTAAATTCACTTCTGACGATGACTTTAACTTGTTTAATTGTTTGTTGTCCAGAATTCTGTTCCATTGGAGGAAAGTCCGGACTGCAGTTGGGCCCCTATCTTTGTCAGGCAGTCCAATTTCAAACTCCCTGCGGATACTAAGGTGCCCATAATCATGATCGGACCTGGAACTGGATTAGCTCCTTTTAGGGGTTTCTTGCAGGTTTGAACCAACTGACTTGCTATTCAATTATTCAAATCGTACAAATATACAACTATCTAAGCCAGTTATACATGTTTTTGTGTTTTATTTGCACTCCAGGAAAGACTAGCAATGAAAGAAGGAGGAGCTGAACTTGGCCCCTCCGTATTGTTCTTTGGATGCAGGAACCGTAAGATGGTGAGTTATCTATCCTTGATGCAGTTTCGTGACTTTTACAGAGAGTAGGCAGGGGTTTGGTGGGGAGGTTTTTAACTTTTTTTTATTTTGATTATTGATAATATTAACTAAGAATGCTTTTTTAAAGGACTACATCTATGAAGATGAGTTAAACCACTTTGTCGAAAGTGGTGTGCTTTCAGAGCTTGTTGTAGCCTTCTCTCGTGAGGGACCCACCAAGGAATATGTGCAACACAAGATGGCAGAGAAGGTACCTATCCTCTCTAACCCACCACCTTTCTCTCGAATAATTGTTCTGGTTTGCTCAAATTATCAATTGATCATTGATGGGGTTAACCTGCACCTAATCTGCTCTACTGTGTCTAGGCTTCGGATATTTGGAACATGATATCTCAGGGAGCTTACATTTATGTGTGTGGTGATGCCAAAGGCATGGCTAGGGATGTCCACCGGACTCTACATACAATTGCGCAAGAGCAGGTATGCTAAATGGAATTTATGCTGGGTTCAGAATATCGTTTTAGTCACAGCTTTTTGGTGGCTGTCAATTTGCTTCTTGCACCTTTTAAAGGAAGAGGTTGATGTTCGCCAGGAAAAAAAAAGGGGGGGGGTGTTCAGATTTATTGATTGTCCACACTACCTAAATACATTAAATTTGTGATGGTGATGTGTATCCACAAATGGAAGGGTCATTTTTTGGACATGTAGGTGCACACGTCATCAAGGGGGTTAACAATGTCTACTGTGCGAGCCAAGCACCTCTGGCACTACCTCTAGTCCTTAATAGAGCTCGATTGACTTTTATTTTGATCGTGAATATAAGATTTCAATCCACTTTGTTTTTTATATTTATTTATTTTTTCTCAAGATAATATTTGTAACAATAATAGTTTTAACCAATATACTTGATTAGCATAATACTTTAGGAGAGATGACACTTATTTATTATAAATAACTAAATTAATTTTTTTAAATTTACTCAAATTAGTCAATTAGTTCTTATATTAAGGATAGGAGGTAGTATGTACATTCCGTGCCCCTTTCTCTTTAACACACAAACACACACCCTATCTCCAAGTCTTATTTAATTCACAATGATTCTGCATAGGACATGGGTCGTTTCATTTCTTGCTGATTTGAGTGTGGCTAATGAAGATTGGACTTTGGTTGTTATCAGGGTTCTATGGATAGCTCTAAAGCAGAGAGCATGGTGAAGAACCTACAAACGAGTGGCAGGTATTTGCGTGATGTATGGTAACGACTTTATATATGAATACAAGGCAAGAAAGAAGACCGAGACAATAAAGCTTTGCGTAAATATGATATGTGGGTTGAAGTACCTGGAAGTGGGGTTTTTGCAACGTCCTCTTCTTGAAGCGCCCTCAAAGGGGGTCTGTGTACCAGTTGTCTTTTGGGACACTGGTCCCTGGATTCTTTTTTTTTTTTTGTTACTATTTTTCTAATGGATTCTTTTTGTTCGTGTAACTTATATAATTCAAGCTTTGGCAAAGATAAACAATACTTATATGATGTAAGGTAATTAATTTCGTTGTTTATACCTAGATTATGCTAGTATGAACTTGTATGAACCTGTAGAAAGGTTCAAGAACAAATGGGTAATATTATTATTTGATTACTTGTTTTCGCTTTTGTTGTTTTGTCTAGAATCTGGAACTATAATGTATGAGCACTCTAATTTGTTGTGGGGATGAGACAACAACTGTTTATTCTTAAAGGAAACAAAGCGGTTAGAGATCCATGGGAAATATATATAATTATATACTACATAATTATGAGTAAAATCTCCTGAGCTAACTATGAGAACGTCCGGGGGTTCAAATTGCTCAAATATTTTTTTGGGGGGAAAACAAGAGTTTGGTATAATTTTACTCGTATTATTTGCAATGTCAATTATGATGGACCCGCTATAATTCCAACAAAAAATTGGTCATTTAGCAGCGACCGTGACGCGTTAGGGTGGCTGGTGGTTATAAAGTGTTCTCAAGTCGTTTTATTGTTTGATAGTTGACACGATGATATTTGCAGCAAAAAATAAGAATAAAAATTGTAACCAAAAAAGATGTGGCGTAGACGCGCGGTCTTTCGGTGTCACTGGACGGCACGGTATTGTGGCGCCCGCGCAAGTGACGATTTTTGGCTGGCCAATTATACACATAACTTCCAAATATGGAGGCTTGAAAACTACAAAATGCTGCAACTTGGACGGAAAGATCCAAAACCCCATATATTGTTTTCGACCACCTCGTGGGGCACCCACTCTCTGGTGGAATGCTTGATCACTTTCCCAGACGCCATTTCCAGATTTTTCACTCTCTCTGTTCAATTCAAGTCCAAATATTTACGCTTGTGCTTACAACATTATTGTTGCTGCTCCCTTAAATAATTAAATTACCACTCATACTTTTTAAATAAAAAAATCCGAGATATTTTTGTAACGTCTACGGTAACAAATTACAATTTTGAGGAGGGTTCCAACACTCTAAAATAGTTTTTTAGATATGTCTAATATCTTAAAAATTATTTGGAGTGCTTGATAGTTGATGCACATCCGCTTAATGAATTTTTTAAGAAGTTAACGACGAAATTAAAATTGCTCAAAAAGAAAACCTTTAAGGGCAAAATTGCTCTTGAAAAAAAATTAATGAAATATTTTAGAAGCTAGATGAACTACAAAATATTTGAAGGTATCAGAAGCATTTGAAAAAAAATATTTCCTGGATAAATCTTAACCTTTGATATTAGAGCAGTAGTCACTAACACAGTTTAAAATTGTAAATAGAATTAAACAGTTAGAAGCATTTATTAAAAAAAAAAAAATCTACAAGGCGATTCATAATCTAAAGCAGTAATGATGGCAACTACTTGGTGAGGCGGTGAGGAGGTGACGGAGCATGTGCTCATCGACCCTAATATTCTACTCTTTCATCAATTCCTAATTCTTCAATCAACTTTTTACTTCTCTTTCCTTCCAATTCTTTCCCTCCCACCAAACACCTCACTACAAGCCCAACAACGCTTCCTTGCCCCAATCTTCGCTAGAGAGACCAAAGCCTGTCGTCCAATCTCAACCACATAAAACTTGAGGCTCCTATCATTTTTATTTTGTTGCATATTCGCGTGATTCCAAGTCATTATCTTGTCCCATGACTGAAGTGAGCAAGGAACAGAACAGCCAGGACAAAATAATCAAACTGAACAATTGTTGACCACAGAATATTGTATTCTTCGATACAATATTCATTGTATATACAAGTTTTATGATTGACATACAATTGAAAGAGTTAACTTGTAAATTGTATTTTCCCTTGTGTTAAATATCTGGGTTCTTACACTTCTTGATTCAAACCAACAGAAAAATGATCCTAAAATTATTGCTTGTAGGAAAGGTACAAGACTTTTTATTTTCAAAAAAAATAATGAATGAACGAATGAAATCAATTAGAGTTTTAGCTTATGAATATGTTTATATACTCTCAAATAAAACCCTTTTGGTTATGAAATTGAGAAGGAAAAAAAAAAGGAGAGGAAGAATTTCACATTCACTGAGCATGCCAAAATCTGCACCTTTTCCTTTTCTTTTTTCTTTTTTGGCCAAAATTTGCACCTCGCATTTAGTTAGAGGCCTCTAATTTTTAAAACATAACTTAACAGTTAACAGTTACAATAGCATAGATAAACAATAACAACCTTCGATCACGAAAAAACAAATCTATTTCAACGGTTATGTAGTAGAAAATACCGATGCATAAAATTCTACATTCATATTGCATAATGTTCACAATGCGTTGAAAGAATTCACTTCAATCCTATTTTTATTAATCACACTAACTAATTTTCTTTTTTCTTCAAAAAAATACATTTGACAAATTGATATCTATTAGTCAATGGCTTGTCCTACAACGTTTCTTTTGGTGGTGGTACTCTTCCCTACTTTCAACTAAATTGCATCAGAAACAAGATAAGGTAGTGATAATTTAAATTTTGCACCCAAAAAGAGGTACTAATAATTTTATACCAAAAAAATGATTTAAATAAAGAAATCCTTAGAAACAGATTCCTGAAAGATCAAGCACCATGGCAAAACATTGTCCGTGATGAAATGCTTATCATCTTGAAAGAAGCAATGGAACTATTATATCGCAGAAAAAGCTCCGCCAATAAATACAGACTCTTCCAATGAATATGTTTTTCAACAGTCACTTCGAATCTGGATTTTATAAATCCTCACCAACTATTCATGCATCGATATCAGAAAAAGCAAGCCACAAGAAGAAAATCACAGGCAAACGAAATCCTCCAGCAGAATGGCTTAGGACCCAACAACACAAAAGATCTGTAAGGAATTCTGAGATCCAACACAAACCCATCCCACCAGAAAGGGAACTAACTCATAATGCATTATCCTCTGAATTAGATATAATATTAATTGAAAATTGAAACAGAAGAGGCCGTTAGCCAACATAAGATTAACCCGCCTTACATCAACACATTGTTCATGGTCACCAATTCGCATAAGGGTAGCAATGATCTAAATCTCTACATTAATAAGCACAAACAATGCAACATTTGATGGAAGGGTAAACCGGAGTTCTGTTGAAGCCATGACAACCATGCACTTTGGTCATTCTAATCTTGTTCAGCATCTTCAATTTCTTCATCCTCCGGTACTCCGCGAAGGTAGAGAACATTGTTGCATCTAGAAATAAAAATAGTGAAACAATTAATCAATTAGTCTGACACTTTTAAAAGGTCCAGTATAGACGTTTATTTGGTTTACATATACTAGTGTTTGATGTTTTTGATCTAGGTTCAAAATACAGGCAATGCCAAAACGCCCATGCTCTGTAATTACAGTTTTCATACAACACAACAATCTGTCTCACATTTTCTTTGGAGAACCTTACTCTGACTAAATTTTAATTTTGGTCAACTTAATATTGCATTTCCTGACCCCTGAAGAGTTGAATATTTACTCACATAATTGAAATAACGAGGGAAATCATAGTAAAGAGAATATATGATAACAGTAATTTTGAACAGTATAAAACAGATTAACAACCTTCTAGGCAGAGATAACTTGGTTCTGATTAACATATATCAAGATTTAAAAGACATAATCACATAATGCATGGCTTCTGAACCACAAAATAGCATTAAAAAGAAAAGAGAAACAGCATTTGATCTGAGACCTCAACATTACTCACATCGCCGGGAGATTTTATGTAGACTTGCTAGCAAAACATGAAAGCCACTTCAAAATAGGGCGATCGGGATAGGTACCTGATTAAAACTTCACCTAAATTTCCAGTGAACTGACCCTCTATGTACTCTTCTGTGTTGGCGAGCTGCAAATATTTGCATATTAAAAATAATGTTAGAAGCAAAAATCTAGTTTCCATCTGGTTGAAATTAATATGGACCTTTGTAGAGTTTATTTCACGTGTCTAACAATTAGGTCCGTTGAAATGGACAAACAACTAGCAACTCTAGTGTCAATAGACTACAAGGCATTAATATGCCAAATACTATCTGCTATTGGGTCACCAAAAGAAAAAAAAACAAACGCAGCCGCAGAAACAAAGAACCTAAGACAGTTCAAAAGTTCACATCTAAGCTAAAACCCCAAACTCCAACCTCAAACATAAACAAAATCATCATACAAACTTGCAAAACTGAACTTGAACAGACCAAAGTATATTTTGCCTCTAAATACACGCAAGTCACAAGAAATATTGTTAAGATTCAGGATATTTTTAAATTTACTTCACATGAAAGTCTTAAAATAAACTTTACCCCACCAGCAAGTGGGGAAAGGAACATATTAGCCTTTAATATAATACACCCCACTGTACCACCACCTAAGACTCCTTATATTGTTTTGTACCTTTCGCAGTAAAAAAAACATGGAAGGGATAATGCGAACATGCCTTTATTCATATAATATATATCTATAAAATCTCACACAAGCCATCCATTCGTAAGCAATGAACAAGACAACTCTCTAATTTATTATTTAGAAGCCACATGAACAGTACAGCTTGCATTGGATTCAATGCCTCTGTTCTATCATTATTATTTTATTCTCTTTTTTTTTTAGTATTAGAATCTAAATCTAAATTTCCCACCTAAGCAAAATTAAAAAAAAAAAAAATCTAGTTTGCACACAATCTAAATAGACAAAAGCCTAAAGCAAAATAATTTTATAAGACTCTTCAAAGTTATAACAACAGAATCAGCCATAAGCCACATAAAGTAGTTCCATACACAAGAAAGCACCCAAGAGTTAATGTAGAAAACGCACCTGCAAGTTCATATAGGAATCAACTGAAACAAGAAAACCTGGAAAACAAAATGAAGATTAAAATCCATTAAGTATTAGATTTAAAGAATAAATTCTGAACTATAATTTTATTTGCAATGGAACAGGTGAATCATTACACCATCTGATAAGGACCATACCTTTATACTCCATCCCCCACTTTAATTTTACAATAACAGGCTTTCCAGTCAAATTGTTCAAGAAAGGCTTGGGATTAACAGGTATAGTCTGCAGTTTGCAAGGAAAGATATGGTTACAATGCAACGGAAGTTACCAATATCACTAACTAAATGAATGCAAGAAGAAATAAAATAAATTTACAAATGCAATATGAAATGTGAATAGAATGTGAAGTTGAATTGGTTGTAGTAGTTAATAACCAACTTAGCAAGGGGATTAGTTCAGGTGTTACTTGAAGACTGAGCACCTTATAAATGCAGCAAGGGTTGCAGGAGAGACTATTGTTGTCGGCTGTTAGTAAACTTTAGTTTATTTCCTGTTCTACTACCTTCTCTATCTCTTTCTTTCATAACAGGTGCTATGACTATCAGATCTTATTATGAGTACTCAGTGAGTTTATTCTATTAGTTATGCTAAGATATTATACATTCTGTTATATATTGTCATACATTCTGTAATATATATTGTGATGGTTAGTCAATGAAGAAGCAGCCAAATTGGATTAAAATATCACATCATTTCTACAATTTAAATTCTTTGTGTAATACTTGACAAAGAAAAAACTATATGAAGAGTAAGAGATTCTAAATTATATTCTTACCACGTGTAACATATGATCTACATTCTTAAAAAATAATAACAATCTCACCAAAGAAAATATACTTCTTCGAGATTTCTTGTGAAAAATCTTATCCATCAAGAGACACAACAAAATATTTAAGTATACGATTGAGCTTATAGAATACAAAACCGATTCATGATATGTCAGACACCGGGAGAATAAAACGCCTCACAAAAGAGGCACAAGGCTTAGAGAGGCAGGAGTTGTCAAAAGGTTGGTTGCATATAAGCTACAAGTTCATTTTCAACTCTTTGCACGATCTACATTTTCAGTACTCTAATCTAACAATGAGAAAATTCGAGGAATGTCTGAACAAAGAAAACTTAGATTCTATTCACAAACTATGCTAGCAGCAGATACCACGTTTCAAAATATGGCAAACCCAAGAAGAAATTTGAAACGCAAAACCATACGCATTAATATTTAGTGGTAGTCGAAGAAAATTCCCACAAAATATTCTGTGGAGCAATTTTTCAAACACATCAGGAGCCCAAGCAACGGAATATTTCAAGGCCAGGATCGAAGCCCCCAAAAAATCCAAGACGCAGCCAAACAGAACGGCACCAGACACAACGAAAACGCTAAATCTCCAGAGTTCTCGACCAGGAGACATGGTTGGAAAGGGCGCACTACATGTCTTTCCAGGTAGCCTCAATCGAAAATAACGACTACTTCTTAGGAACATACAGAAGGTAAGAAGATACTCACAGCCATTAGAGAGGAGAGCAACGCGGCAACGCTCAGTGGACTTGAGGGGCTGCCAAGGGTTTGGCTTTGAGGGATTGTTAGGGTTTATTTGATGAAGAAATCGGCGGGTAGAGAACAGGTCCCAACTAGTAAATTTTTTATCTCAACCAGTTAAAAACTATTTTTAAAAAGTACTTTTCCCTGTACCAAACACCCCAATAAATGGTAAATTGACGGAAGAGGACTTTAGAGGAGCTTCGATGTGGGTATTATTTTTTCAGTTTTATAAATGTATTTTACTTATGAATTGTTACATTGATTGGGGTGTTTGGAAACTAAAATTTTTTGTTTTTGAAAAAAAAAGGAGAGTGTGAGAGCCTATAGGATATGTATCTTTTTTTTTTATAAACATATTTTTTTATAAATATATTTAATCTTATATCTTATAAATATATATACATATTAATTATTTATTAATTATATTATCTTATGTATTATTAATTATGTTAATAAAAAATATATTATTAACAATTTTATTCCTTCAAATTAAAATATATCATAAAATATATTTTTTCTGTAATTATCATATTACCTTATGCCTTTTTTAGTAATTGTACATATAAAAAGTGCTTCTGGTAACAACTATCCAAACACTCTCACTTGTCAGAATCATTTTTTCACAAAATCTATCTTTCAAAAAATCTATTCTCCTCAAAATCTATTTTCCAGAAGCTATTCTCCAAACTATGGTTTGGTTATATCCAAACACTCCCATATGTTGTTTACAAAATTTTTTAGTTGTATTACATGATTTTTTTTCAGTGATAATTTTGATCTTTGAGTTATTATGAGTATTTATTTTTTGTCTCTCAAGACTATATGATTTTTTTTTGATCAATTTTTGGATTACAAGTGAAGCTCATATTCTCTTTTTTTCCAAAAAAAAAAAAAAAAAGCTTCAATTGTTGTATTCCCAGCCCAATGCTTGGTAAGAGGGAGGGGAAGAAGAAAGGAAAAAAATTTTTAATAAGCTTAATTTAAAAAATTTAAAAGTCGGATTCTAAAATTTTGATAAAGAAAAAATATAAGAGAAGAGAAAGAAAGTTTAATTAAAAATTTTTAATCCTACTTTGTAATTTTTAAATTAAGTTTATTTAAAA